GTTTGGTTGGTGAGCATTCTACCTCGGTGCCACCGAAATGCGACGAAATAACTGGTGGTAGCATGTTATTCTGCACAAACCATAGTTGTTCTTGCTTTATTCAACTTTACAACAGTTCACTTTTTGGAACTTAATTGGTGGATGGTGACTAGCAGTGGAATCCAGAACAACGCGCATTTTCTCCTATTTGGGACTCGTCAGCTGGATGTACCTGTATTCATTTCAATTAAAACTAATATGATCCGTCGCACAAGTGGTGGCTATCGTGACCCAAGCGATCTAGTGGATAACGCTTTGGCATTTGAAACTATGGGCACTGGGTTCGAGCCTCGGTGGAGCATCATCACTCAGTGACTGGGGAATGCAGGTACATCCAGCTGACGAGTGACAAATAGGACGAAATGCGCATCGTGGCTTGATTCCACTGCTAGTTACCATCTATAAATTAAATTCTAATTAAACGTCTAAACATAGTCCAAGCATATGCACAAGAAGGCGACATGTCAACCTGAGACCGAGCACGGCGGTTCAATCAATCGACGGGAGAATCCAAAATTCAATTAAAATTCACTTTTAAATTATAAAAACTAATCAATCAATTTCGTATTTAAAAATGATTTAAAAATGTATCAAACCACAAAGTTTGACAAATAGAAGAAGGGAAGCAGAAATTCTCTACTGACTTTTGATATCTGTTTTTATCGTCATACTTAAAACACAAACTTGCTAAATAAACCATAAATAAATCATTTTCCTGACGAATATGAAAATTCATCAACCGCAGAAATTGGAGCTTATATAAATATATGTATATGTATATATACACATACGCGTACATATTCTTTCGTCCAGTAGTGTTGTTGTGTGATAAATTGTATTATTATTATTATTACTATTATTATGTGTTTCTGTATTATGAATTTATTCTCCTCACCGTGATATTAACCACGCCCAATTGTGATTTCAGTGTTAGCTAACCGATGCAACACACAGAATAGTTTTTAGGGAAAGGCAACACAGAACGGGTTAGAGACAGATTGGTAAACAGAGAGTGAGTAAGAGAGAGAGAGAGAGATAACGAGATAGACAGATAGATAGATAGATAGAATAATAAATAGGCAAATAAATAGGATAAGGAAAAAACAGGATAAATAGTTAAAGAAAAACTCCTACAGATTTTGATGCATTTCTCATAATTATTATTTCAATGAATAAAAGCTGCGATAGCAAGGTGAATAGGTCTCACTGTCGTATACATATCTCCCTCTCTTTCTGTGTGTGTCATTTATATGCAATTAAACAATTGAATGAGAGGTAAAAGAAAAAATTTGAGTAAAACTCATTGTCTGTATTATCTAAATATATATACAAACAAAGTAGTTAAGCATACCAGTTCACCGTATCAGTTAGTAGTGATTAGTAGTAATTATGATAACAATAATAAAAGGTATTACACAGTAGTGAATTATCTATCAAAGGCTATTCAGCTACTCATCTATTGTTGATTCCCAAATGGACACACACACACATACACATACACACACTACCTCTGTCACTCTTTCTATCTCTACCAAATAATACAAAGCCTAACTGTCTACTGTCAATATTTACTCAAGCATAATCGCCCCTATTGTTTCTATTGCGATACAATGAAACTTTTGTTTTTATATAGATGTATGTATGTATGTGTGTTTTCTGAGAGTAAAATAAATAAAAGCTGAATCCAGTTGATGCGAGACCTATTCAACACTAAATACTTAGTTTTGTGTTAGAGATGTCTACGTGGACTAAAGTTAATCAGTATATAACTAATGGAATATTAGGTGCCTATCAATTAGATGGATAGATGGACGAGGATATCAAAGCAGTGAGGATCGGGAAAGCAAGGCAAGCTTTCATTATTCACGTCAAGTCTGTGTGAAGGTCAACGGCCCTAATTAGAATGAAAAATAAGATCCGGATTTTCAACTCCAATGTGAAATCAGTCAGTGCTACTTACTATACTATACAGGCAGATCAGAGACTTGGCGCATCATGAAGAGCATCTCAAACAAACAAACTACAGACCTTCATCAATACGTGCCTGGCGAGAAAAGATCAGCGACAGTGATCTCTGGCAATGAACGAACCAACCCAGCAGAAACCAATTGTGCAACAAATTAGCGGGAAGAAATGGAGTTAGGTGGATTGGATTGGCCATACTCTGAGGAAAACAGCAAAAAACATCACTAGACAAGCCATCGCTCGAGTGGAACCAGGCCGAAAGGGAAGCGGCGAGTCGGTCGTCAGTGCAAGGGTGACTTGGAAGAGGTCATGTGAAGAGGAGATGAAAGTATATGAGTAGACTTCGAGCCAGGTGAAAACTCTAGCAGGGAACCGAAGGGGATGGAGACGTTCGGTTGAAGCTGTATGTTCTTCTAAGAATCAAAGGAAACAATGATAATAATAATCAATTAGATGGGCAATCAAATTTGGTATTTATACTAGGCAAATATGACCAATTATAGTTTCTTAATGTTTCAGCTAGAGTGAGTCATTCACTTGGGTAGAATGTTTGTCAGTCATACTCATGGTCTGGGTCAAATTTCTCACCCAATGAACTCCTGAGACGTCGCTCAGTTTACTAGGCTGTAGTAAGTCAGGAAAAGATGAAAGCTTTGGCTTGAGGCTATTAACCCGACCGTATTGAAAAACATAACAACATTATAGCTACTCAAACTTTAAAGCTTGAAGGTCTATGTCCTGCCTGAAGTACCGGTGAAGAGTCTTAAACTTGGAGGGAACACCCTAGTTGTCTAGCTGATATCAATCTGTGCTCGAACTTGAAACAGATCAAATCTCCACAGAATAACTCTTGAAAATTAATCTGATGCTCACTAGCCACTGACCATAGGATGGAGTTGCTTATACGGTTCTAATGAGAAACCATGACCAGTGAAGTCCATTTGGTGAGACATGAAAGCAAATACTAGTCAATGAAATCAGCTGATGATCTCACCAAGAAATTATGAATTAGTAAGAGTTGGAATTCACGGACTGGCTATTGGATCGGGTTCCAATGGCTGGAATGGTCTATGTCCTTACCTTGTGACTGAAAGTTCCTCAGTCCTATGAGTACTGTATGAGTACTGAGGAGGAATCCTAAACTAAGATGAAACACTAATAATGTTTAAATGACATTGAATCAATAATATTCCACCCAAGAAATAGAACTCTTCAAATCCAGTCTGGTGGATTGTTATTATCAGTATAATAACCTCAAATGTGACAGTAAACGTTTCTTGACAAAGAACCACAGAGAAGAACTAAAGAGACTGATAAATGATGAGAGCACTGATAACTAAAAAGCCTGATAAAGGATCAGGAGTAGCCCTCCTTGATAGAAGTGACTACATTAAAAAAGATGAATGGTGTATTGAAGGACACACAGAAGTTTCAAAAACTTGAGAGGAAGAAAGATTTCAATAACTAAATAGAAAACGAATTGGCCGGACGTTTGAAGAAACTAAGAGAGGAGCAGATATTTCCTGAAAGTGTTTATGAAGAAACCCAGCCAACGGGCATGTATACACCAAGATTGTATGGCCTACCTAAAGTGCATAAAACGGGGGTATCGTAAAGACCAATACTTGATATGCAAAATTCGCCCTACCATGCTCTACCTAGACGGTTAGTAAATTTCTCAAACCTTTGCATGAGAAGATAGTCAAATATAACGTCAAAGATGTATTTGAATTCATAGACAAAATCAAAGATATTAATATCAAGGACAAAACCATGATATCTCTGGACATAACATCGTTATTCACAAATGTACCTCTAGTAGAAACAGTTAACCAGTCGATAAACACTGGTATCCGTACTGAAATCTTAAAATAACTGTTATTAAGGTGTACCATGAATGTAAATTTCATATTTGACGGCATGCTTTACAGGCAAGTGAATGAGGTTAGTGACAGGCTCCTTATTGAGTTCTATTTTAATAGATTTCTTTCTAAGTAAACTAGAAAATGGTCACTTGAACAACCTTACCAGAAAGTTCTCACTTTATTGCCAGTATATGGATGACACCTTCATTATTTATGATAACGATTCGGATAGGAGTACAATAATTACTGAATTCAATGAAGTACATTCGTGAAATTCACATGCGAAGAGGATCCCAAGACAGAGTTACCTTCCTGGACGTCCTCCTTGTAAGAAAACCAGGGGAACTAAACGTCTTATTCTCTACACGACCGACGGTGACCTCTTGACTGAAAGATGAACTACCTAGACTACCTACTTCCAATTGTATCTACTAATTCAACTGCACTTGTGGAGCAAGTAATATCGTACATTGCTCTAGGAACTTGATTTTTCACACTCAGAAATATCTCCCAGTATGGATAAGTAAAGGTTTAGTTAAAACCACCAACACTTCCATATTAGACCATCTGGTGGAAACCGACCACAAAGCCAACCAGCGTGGAAGAATCCCTCTCTATCATTTGTCGGGTGCCAAATAAATTGCCAAAATCATCGAAGCACCGCATGTTTCAAACAGCAAAGGCTGTCGCGATTCGCCTCAAATAACCAGTGCTCTGTGTTCAAGAGAAGCAAGTCCAGCCCCTACTACTACCCTGGGCAGCCTTCAGTAGAGACTATAAATTCATGAATTTGTCCGATTATCTTTCCTAATGTTTCTAACATTCAGCTTATTTTATGTTGATTCTATTGAGCTGTAATCTATCAATATTATTGATTCGATGTTATGTAAACAACATTAATGTTGTAAATAACACTAATTCATTCATTCATTCACTATAATATGTAGATATAACTATAGAGCCTGATGGTGTCAAACTGTTTAAATGGTCTAATGCTATACATTTTGAGAACTTGTAAAGATAAAGTTGTTAGTATTAAAATTAAAATTAATTTTTAAAACCATCTAATCAAAGACTAATAATATTTACTTCCAATCTCTGTGTTTTTATTCCATTTTTTTCCGGTTATAGTTTGGTAAAAGATTATACACTAATTATATTGTCAGATCAGATATTGTGAAAATTCATCGTGAAAACTGTTCACGTATGGACTATCAACTCAGGAGTTCATCAAATTTTAGCTCAATCACCGACAGACCAACATCATTAGCTACATATGACTTAGAAAATGAACAAATACTAGGCGATGTACACTCCTCCATTGGTGCTAGTTCAAAGACAAGCTCTATAGATATCGGATTTCCACCAAAATCAAACAGTTATAGTGTAACTGATCTAACTAAACCTGTATACTTAAATTCATCATCTATGAATGGTAATCATCACCACCACCATCATCATGATTATCGACCAAATGAAGCTTCAAGTTTAACTAGTCTAACTCTCTATCCAATACAAACATCAAGAGAACAATCAGTGAATCGTCAAAGTCGGCTGGATAGACGAAATATCAAATCAGTGAAAAAACGTATCTTTGGCTCAGGACCATCTGCACGTCGGTGTACACGGTCTATTAGTCAAATTAGTTCACCATTTAATATTACTTTACCGCAATGGATGCGTGCTAGCTATGAAGATAAAGTGAATGAACGATTTAATGAAACAGTATTATAAAATATATTATTGTTATTATCAGCATTATTATTATGTAATCGAAGCAGTGAACAACATTCTTCTTCTTTTTTGCATTCCAAACTATGTATGTGTGTGTGTATGTTATCTGTAAGTTAATACCTCTGTAATGTCATGTCCACATTCATCCTCTCAGCAACTACAGTAACACCAAAAAACACATCTAACAGACAGCATATTACCTGTCAAAACGAAATGAAGCTTATTCAAAAGATACAAGTGAATACAGACTGGATTCTGGGATAAGCTGATGTACACGCGCAGATGCAAACACACTCGCACACATACACACATACACACACTTAGAAAGAAATATAAATCGTTTACTCGCTTTCAGACTTACCACTTTTTGTAGAATTAGAACAGATGCCTAACATTTTCTAAACTGAAGGTGAATGCAGCGCATTATTACACATCACAAAAACTCACTGTGTATAAAGTGAGTGTTTAACAAATGCAAAAACCCAACAGATTATAAATTATTACTATCATTATATATATAAACATATTATTATTATTACTATAAAACTTCTGTTGAAAACACAATACAGAGATATGATATACTAGAATATGTGATTTATTGCCAGAATTTTTATATGATTCTTACCTTTTTTCCCGTTTTCTCCCTAAGATTTCCACTTATGATATTAATTAAATTAATCGGATATGTATATGTACTACTTATTTAAACTACTTATAAGCATCAGACTTTTCAACAGAATACGGATCATTATCGCCAGATCAAGTATATATATATATATATATATATATATATATACTGACTCTTGTACACGCACACGCACTTGCATACATACATCTAACGGTGGAAAAGTGATTAAAGTTTCTATTTTTCTGAAATATTTCTTTCTGCTACTAATAATAATACTAGTGCTCACCTTTTAATCTCAGTTTTGAGATCAGATTTTTTTTAATTTCATGGAAAGATTTTTAACTGTACATATATAAAAACACCGACATCAATCGACTCAGAAGAATATATATATATATATCCTATGAAAGGTAATATATATATATATATGTATCTTAAAAATTAAAAACGCCCGCCATTGTTTTTATTGGCGTACATTTTAAAGTAAAAGATGACGAATTTATTCTTTTCTTATTCGACCTGGTTTTCAATTTCTTCTTTTCCTTTTTCTTCTGATTGACATAATCGAATCAGCCAAAAAAACGCTTCGATAATTTTTACAAATTAAATATTAATAATATTATTTTTAAAATGAGAATTAAATTCAGATTGTTTTTTACTAAATATTATATATAAAAAAGTATATATCATTTGATTTGATAAAATACTCTTTACAGACTGGCCACTAATTGAATTAGTCAATTAGTCAATTGATTAGTGAGTTGGTTAGTTAGTTAGTTAGTTAGTTAGTTAGTTAGTTAGTTAGTTAGTCAATTAGTTATTTAGTTAATTAGTTATTTAGTTAGTTAGCTAGTTAGTTAGTTATTTAGTTAATTAATCAGTTATGTAGTTAGTTAGTTAGCTAGCTAGTTAGTTAGTTAGCTAGTTAGTTAGTTAGTAAGTTAGTTATTTAGTTAGTTGGATATTTAGTTAGTTAGCTAGTTAGTTAGTTATTTAGTTAATTAATCAGTTATGTAGTTAGTTAGTTAGTTAGCTAGCTAGTTAGTTAGTTAGCTAGTTAGTTAGTTAGTATGTTAGTTAGTTAGTAAGTTAGTTATTTAGTTAGTTGGTTAGCTTCTAAGATTTCCATTAAATTTCTTAACTGCTATTCAGATTTTAGATTTTAAAGGAATTTCACCTAACCAAATTCCCAATGGTAATAAGTTCGCAATTTACACTGTTCTACCTGATTATTACATTACGTTTTGACTGAGGAGCTTGATTATTTAGATTACAGAATGTATTGTGCTTGATACGGTAAATAATAATCAGGAAATCGAGCATATTTGCGCATAAAATATATACTACTGAGTGATTGAAATGAGTAGTTGTACACCACTCATATTAACCAACAGTATGACTTGTTAGCTAGCCAGATAGAAGTGGTCTAAACACGAGCAAGGACGTTTCATTCGTTCGTAGTTGAGCTCGTCAGTGATGTGCCATGTTTGATTGAGATGAAAGAGCTGAATCACTTCTCAATCTGGCCAACCAGTACTACTGTTTGACATGAGCGACAGAAAACTACTCGGCTCAATCAATCGGTAGAAGATAATTTTAATTCACTCTATAACAGATCTCACCGAGAATTTAGATCAGTTGGTGAATCGTTCATATTAGATGGTTGGGAGCAATTGACAGGAAGCCCCCAATTAGGTTTCGTGCTAGTTGGCATTCATCAGCACGGGTTATCTGCAACTTCGAAGGAACTCATGTCCCTTCTGAGATTCAGTCTGATAGAATTCATTCTCAACCGAAGATAGGAATGCACACTTTACTCTAATTATTGACTAGTTTCCAATCAAAAATATCCAATACAGTCCTACGGGAAGTCAATCGCGAGGCCTAATAGCTCAGTGGTAACGTCTCTGACTTCAGCAATGGCTGGTGACGCGATTCAAATCTCAGAAGGGTTCAAGGTTGCAGATACTCCTTGCTGACTGTTGAGTGCCAACTATCACGAAGCCTAGTTGGAGGGGTTCCTGCCAATTGCCTCCAACCATCTAATACCAACAATTAACAGTACACCATGATGACGAGCCACCTAGTATGGTGGCAACATTGCAAGCTTGACTGATAGAATTCAGTCTGCACCGAAGATAGGACTAGACGCATTACACTGGTTGCTGTCTAGTGTCTAATCGAAAATTGGTGATTCACTGAAAAACAAGCATGGCCAATTTCATTTTAGTTTGGAATTCTTCAGGTAGTACTCAACCATGTCAGCACTAGAAATCTACGTGGAAATTAAATATACGTGTGGTCAGCATTTGATGTCTTCTCAGTTAACCTCGGGATCATGATTCTATTTAGCTGGAGATGGAAACTAATGAATTCAGATAAGAATGTTTGAATGCCATTTTGTTTTATTTCTTTCAAAAATTTTTAAAAGAATGGATACTGAACAATGAGTATTCTTTTCGATAACTTCATCATCAGGCTCCACAGTTATATATACATTATAATGAATGAATGAATGAATTAGTGTTATGAACAACATTAATGTTGTTTGAATAACATCGAATCAATAATATTGATAGATTACAGCTGAATCGCATCAACTTAACAATAAAGTGAATGTCAGAGAAATTAGGAGAGATAATATTACAAATTCATGAATTTATAGTCTCTACTAAAGGGCTGGCTAGAGCATTGGTAGAGGCTGGGCTTACTTCTTTTGCACACAAAGCACTTTGATTGAAAAAAGCTATTCCGACAAATTTATCAAGAAACACATGACCAGGAAAGTGGAACAGGAATACTCACTATCCGTAAACAAGAAGCCTCTTTATATACGACTGCTATTCAAGGACGATATACCAAGTGAAATAATTACGAAGAATTTAAGAAAATCAGTTCAAGGAACTTTTGATGCTCGAGAACTACTATACATCTTATTCTCTAAACGACCGATGATGATTCCTCGACTGAAAGATGAACTACCTAGACTAGCTACTAGGAGAAGGAACACAATTCTTTTAATAGTTTCCTGACCAATAGTTCTACACTAATATAAGTTTTTTTGCATCAAAATTGTATCCATCTTGTGATGATATTAGTCTTTACTAAGATATAGGACTGCTGGAAATCAAGACAGTTTTAATCAGTGAAAATTAGCAACAGATTGTTACACAGAAGAAATAAAAAATTTTGAGGTATAAGAGAGGTTAGAATGATTGCCCACTCCAGGGTTAGTTGATTTGTAAAGGTTAGCAACAAGTGATTACATAATCAATGATTTGTAAAATACTGACAACTAAATAAGAACCGATAAATGTAACACGTCAGGATAACCAAAAGACAGATAGGTAAATTGAATTAGCTAAGATAACAAATTATAAAATAACGGTGTTAGTGATATTTACAAAGATGGGATAAGACTTTACACATACTATACGTGTCAAAGAAAGGGTCTACATGAATTTCTTTTTTTAATGTACAGATTACGCTTGTTCAAATGAATTGTCACAGTTGTATATGAAAGCTGTACTCATACAAAATGCGAAAGATTGTATTTTCAATAGTCTCTTCGATGTTTCATTGAGTGGATAGAAGATGGATCTGTCGAAACAACAATAATTGAGAAACTTCAATGTAAACATTTGCTTAGCCTCATAGTAACAAAACATAACGACAATGATAATGAGATACATGGCTTTAGGCTAATCTTAGTCTGTCCTGAACAGTGTACAGAGAAAAATCTCCACGATATCCGGAGAAGTTTATAGAAACCAACATAGTCATAGTTATAAATAGCTAATAGTGCCTAAGAATTCATTATTTTTTCGTCTCTGTATATTTCAAGGGAGATATCAAAGTGATAAAGACAACCTTCTATCTTGGAGATCTCTTCTTTTTCCTTAATAGCCATTCAGTGTCCACTTTTTGAAACTGAAAACTGTTCTACCGAATCTCATCTTCTTATCATTGTACATACCCTTCCTGTGGTTCAAGTCATATAGAGCGTACTGCTAGGCAAGTGAGTCTACATATTCTAAAACATTTACTAGCCTTTTCCGGAGAGGATGAAATGAAATGTTTAAGAGGCTCAATGAAATGATGAGATTAATACTGATACAGTCCTTAAGGTTATATATATATATATATCACCTTCTAAAGTCCTTATCATTCACAGTTATGCTACATGTTATCAAATATGAAAAACGTCTCTGATAATATTGCTGAAAGACTGTTCAAATGCCTTTGGAATAGATATCACCTACAAACCAACAAGATCACTCCAACCTATATTATGTCAGCCAAGAGACAAGGCATTAAAAGAAGATGTCAATTCCATCATATCAATACACGCCGAGGAGAAATAACACCATTT